ACGCTTTTCGTGTTGATTATTATATCTTCGTTTTGCTAGTTGTAAAAGGTAGATGAAACAGTGCCTCCTCCGAAGTTATCCATGTTTTGTATCTACCTTTGGATGACATTAAATACAGAGGCCAATAACGTTGTCTTCGTTTTTCTACTGACTTTAGAGGCTATTGATGTTAGACTGGTTTATTCACTTTTTTTATAACCAATTTTCTTTATCTGACGACAAATTGTTAATTGCAAAACCTGTAGTTTCTTGGCTAAAATTCTATGAGGCAGAGGATTTTCTATAGCGATAAGTCCTTTCAGCTCCTTTTCCACCAAGGACTTCCTTTTGTCCACATTTTATTCCTAGAGTTTTTAATTGCCAGCCAAATTTTATATAGTAATCCACAAGAAAAATGCCTTTTCTGGTTTTTAAATGCTTTATTTATAATAGAATTTGGGCAACTATCCAACAAAATCTTTAAAATTTCATTTCGGGTTTGAGGATATAATTCCGGAGCCATAGATTACTCCCACCAATAAAAAAATAGTTAGATTGGTAATTTAAACATTTCATTTTTAAAATATAATTGGCAATAAGGCGATTAAAATTTATCAAATAGTTATATGCTTTAAAAATTGGTCACACTTATTTTGAATCAACCTGTATTACCAACATTTAACAACTATGTCAAACTGTTTTTTTCTTCTTTATAGTTAATACAAGGATGGACAACCGTAGTATATAGGAACAATTCCTAGGAAATTTGATCTCAATGAAGGGAATGCCTGTTGAATCGTTGGCGAAACTCAACCGTACAGCCATTCATCACTTCATATCTTTCCGGCCATTCATTTCCATTATATAAAACAATTCAAAAATTGCCAAAGGTAGTAAAAGAAGACGGATTCTACTTTAACTCATCTGTTTGTATATTTCATGAAAAAAAATCTGTCTACAATGTACTACAATATATATATATCATGACACAGAGTAAATTATTGAATTTGAAAGTACAAAGAAGAAAAATCAATTTCTCAATCTCATTGGAGATATAACAATAGGATGAAACCATGATAATCTAAGGTTTACTCATCATGAAAACATTTGCATTGGCATTTGGTGAACTACTTACCTGCATAGCTGGAAAGATTCAATACTTGATCACATTATAAACTGTGATAATCGATTTTATTATCCAAGGTGGCTATTATATTGGATGGCTGGAATAGGAAAGAATCAAGTGCTGTGATATAGCGAGATGAAACATTAGTGCCAGGTATATATTAGTTAAGAGACATTTACGTTGATGGCACTGACATAGTTGATGTGTCGCTGTTTAGAAATGTATTTTTTTTAAGGAAATTAATACAAACCAGATGAATTATAATATGCTGTTAATATATTTGCAAAATATTCTGAAAATCACAGAAATGTCTTAAATAGCATTTAATTAGTAACTAAAATAATAGCTCATGACATAAATGTTTAATTTATAAAAGATTGCAAAATCATATTACATTTAGATTCATAAATTTTTATTTCTCAGAATTATGAAAACAAACATAGTTAATTAACAATTTGCCTCCTGACAACACATTTCACTGTTACTTTTAATTTCCAAAAGGAAAGACCAAGAGAAAATTTAGAATGATAATATTCTAAGTTCAGCATAAAATATCTGGTTTGTTTTAATTTCAAATGTTTCACTTCATTTCAAAATTTATTTTGAAGTGAATGATGAAATGCTCTTGTGGTAACTGGATGCAAATTTACCTTGGGGCATATACCTTGTAACATAAAATTAATTCAAAGAAAATATGCATTGTTCAATTAGTTGTTCCTGGTAAAAGATATGAACTGTAAAATCATCTTTTCCTAAAGCCAGGTATTAGAGCTATTTAAAGTACTGCATTATACGTCCAAAATAAAACTTTTTTGTAAGTAAAAAGTTTATTTCTTTTCTCCTTGTGAAAAATAATTAACCTATTTATTAAAATTTAACAATATAAGCTATTGATAAGTTTATTTAAACTTATTAGTAATAAAAAAATATTATTAAACAATAAATGTTAGTAACTTCAGATATTTTACTCACATTTATTTTAAGAATTAAACTATTTTTCTTAATATATAAAATTCGAAAAAGATTTGTCGTCAGCCACACTTGTGTAATAAAAAGAAAACATAACGTAGGTAAAGATACTGAAATTGCAGAAATAAATTTCATGTTATATATTCTGCAATTACACTCTTACATGTTTCAGTATTTGCAAGAAAAAACAAGATATCTATATACAAAGTAAATTTATGTTACATCTTTATAAAAATTATCTATGCAGTCCTTTACATTATTTTGTTCAAAGAGGGTTGTAAATAAAGTAGAAACAATATAGTCCAGAAAATCACAACAGATCAGGCATGTAAATAAAGTAAGCATTATATGAGAGAAGGAAGGTGGCATTGTTTATACAGTACATAAAAAAGCCTATCCAGTTAAAAGGGTCAGTTGCTGTGCAGCAATTAAGTATACAGTGTCATTCTACTGCTTTAAACCATGTTTACAAAAAGTGATTAGTAATCTTGGATTAAAATTGAGGTTAGCTGTAACATAATGCATTTGAACATTATCAAGGATTACATAAAGCTGGTGTTCAGGTAAATGATACTCAATAGGATGACTGCACAATGAAATGCTTCGAGACAAGTAGGTTGGAATGCAACAACGGATTTGCATCACACATAGGTGGGATGTCCATTCCTCCACATCAAATTCACATTGTGAGTGGTTTTTAAAGGAATTACCAATAGAGATTTTTTTTCTTGCTTATCAAATGGTGTAGCACATACTAAAGAAAGCATGATATGCCCCAAGAAGAAAATGTCCATGTAATCTACTTTTGCCACTAATCTCCACATTTATTGTGAGTCAATCTTCATATTTTGCATTGCAATACTCATTGTCGTTACAAACAGTAGCATTTGAAAAGTAATAAAATAGCCCCTGCACTCACCTGGCATGAGTCCTTGTGACTTTGATCTCTTTCCTACATTAAAACAATCCTTCTGGAACATCCTATTTCTTAATGTAGCAACTGTGCTTTGAACAGTAGGATGCACCATCACTGACATCAACAATCAATATCTTGTAAAATTAATCCTATGACTTTGACATTTAGCAAAATGTTATAAATTTATTCACACATTATACTGAAGGAAAAGAATACAATTTTACTTGCAAGTTCATTATAAAATGTTTTCTATCTACGTTGCCACTACTTAAATTTACAACCCTCATATATTTACACACACACAATTTATATAAATAACAGGTATCATGATGAGGATGAATGGCTCCTTTTATGCCTAAGAATTTCAGGAAGAGTTAGTAAAAGTTCTTTCTCACAAACAGAACAGAAATAAGATTTTTTTGGGGGTCCTTTGTTAGTTTCTTCAGGAACATCAACAGATTTTTCTGAAATACATATAAATAAATTGTATGCTTTATTAAAATAAATTATTTAACTGAAATTAATTATTTATGAATTACTTTTTAACCGAATTTCATACACTTACGATTAAATTTTAAGATAAAAAAATCCCCCAGTCATTTTTTTCAAAATATAGCTACTATATAACAAGTCAAACTTTAAGAAAACTGTATGTTAACAGAATTCCACAATAAAATGGTTATATGTTGCACTATTTTTTTAACGATAATTAAAACATACACATTTCATTACTAATTTCCAATACTGAATGATAAGAAAACAATGACATACATTTAGTAACATGAAAAATTTAATACACACAATTTTCACAATTAAAACATACACATTTCATTACTAATTTCCAATACTGAATGATAAGAAAACAATGACATACATTTAGTAACATATGAAAAATTTAATACACACAATTTTCACTCAAATCATATTAATTAAATACTTGGATGAAAGAATGGTTCTTTTAGAAAGGAATATGAGCCGCAAATAAATGTTAGCCTTTAATACATACTTAAAAATTATTACACTATAATTAAGATGAGTAACTGAAGAATGAAATATTGTAATTTGACAGATTCAATACAATATGCAATGTTTAAAACAAATATATAATGAATTTAAAAGTTATTCTTAAAATAAATATACCTATAACATGAAATATATGTGTAAGATAATGTGTTCCTTTAATATTTTTACTATAACCATTAAGGTAATTGTTAAGTTATTGTTTTGCATAAAAGATGATTCACAGAATATTACCAAAATAATCATACTTCTCAAATGACAGTGATAATAATACAATTTTGACTCACCATCAAAAATTATCTATATAATTACTTTAATCCCAATTTTTATTTTTTGAATGTATGCAATAGTTTTACAATACTTTCAAAGATTACATATAAAAAAAATCTTTAAAAATGTTACAAAATTAATTAAAATAGTTAAGGAATAGTTACTAATGAATTTTGAAATTCTAATTCAATGGATGTATTTAAGGCTATCTTCACACAATGCTGAAGAACAGAATTTGAATTTCAAATATAAAAGCACTTTAATATTTCATTCCGGTTTCACTATCCTATGAAGAACATATTTTATCAAACAGCTCCTTTTTTTAGCTGATCCATTTTTTTTTTTGGTATAAAATATCTTTTCCATTTTTTCCTCAAATACTGCAGTGTGAAATGAGCTTTTCCTTTATGTGTTAAAATGAACAAGTAATATTAAAAAAAAAATTTTTAAATCAATTCCTACTTAGGTCAACTAAGAAAATTTTTATTTTAGTTACTTTTTATTACATAGTTACAATTAATATAAATATGTATATACATATGACAGAATCACAATATTAAGTGACAAAATAGAAAGTGATTTTCTTTGCAATTTTCCCTTATCCTTTCTATATGTGGTGTTTGGCTATCTTCTTTTATTTGCAACCATTTATTCCTTAATTAAATTTAATTATAATAAAATAGTATAGTAAAAAACAAATCACATTCTCAAAAATTAGGCCATCCTAGGTGGGATTCGAACCCACGAAATTTGAATTTGAAGTACAACACGCTATCCATTGTGCTACAGGGACACAACAATTTTCCTTTCTATATATGCTGTTGGACTATTATTTTTGTTTGTTACTATTTATTCATTTTTTAATTTAATTCATGAATGAATGTTTAAAAAAATGTAATTGAACGGATGAATAGAAAGAATTAGCCATTAAAAATTTGAACAATATATATACATAGGGAGAGAGTGAAATAATAGTAAGAATTGAAAAAAATAATTATTTATGGCATATTTTGAAATTTTAAAAAAGCTATATTATACACAGGTACAAATTACAATGTTACAAATTCTCATAAAAATTGAGACATTTTTCTGTCTTAAAAAGTGCTCCATTTTTAGTTCTGATTCTTGTACCTTTGGGAGGACAGCTTAAATTTTTACAAGATATAGGAATCAAATTAATAAATATAGAAAAAGATAATTATCGTTATTCTTTACAGATGCTTTCAGAAACTTACACAAAAACTAAAATTCTATTTTTCTTCTTTTCAAAAATATCTACAAAAAAGTAATAATTTATTAAATGCATTATTCTTTTTTTCAAAAAAAAAAGTTTTTAAACAAACATACCATTTTGGCCTTCACATGTCTCTTTGTGTCTTATCTGGTCCAAAATAGTAGCTACCATTTCTTTTCCACAAGAAGGACATGTCCAATGCTTCTGAATGTATTGTAGATATTTATCTTCAAGATCTACAAGGCTAGAACAGAAAATGTGCTTAAATATAGCATGTTTTTATTGTGAAATATTCATCAAATTATGATTACCTAGCTTTTATTAATTTAAAAAAAAGAAATGATATATGTTGTATAAATCTATGTTTAAATTATTTTTGATGAATAAGGGACTTCAAACCTTAAAGAGCTCAAACAAATTTTTAAAAAATAAATAAATAAAAATATTTATTGCATAAATAGTTTTAAAAATTTTCCCCAAAATGTTGTTAAAAAACTAACACTAAAGCGCAATTTACAAACATAAAAGCAGATATATTTACACATATTTGGAGTTATTGAAAATAAAGAAAACTAGAAGTACATGACTTTTAATCAGATATTTAACTTTTACCATAACAAGATTAAACATTTTTAGCATGAACAGAAACGCTTATTTTTTCAACACTTTTTAATTTAAAATCAAACTTAACAATTTATAATACACATGATATCAAAAGAGAAAAATGATCGTCATAAATTTTGCAAATAAGATTTATCTTATAGCTTTCATTTCGTTTCATGCATACTATACTATTTTCTTTTTCAACAAATTTTTGATAAAATATTAAAATACAATTCAAATATTGGTTAAGATTGACTAACCAATTATACGTCAAATATGGCTTTATTTGTAAACCTCCTTTCACTTTGTTTTCTTGAGCTGTTTGAGCATCATCAAGCAGGCCTACAGCCACAGGAACTTCTCCTGAAAATTGCATTAAATTTTATATGAAATAAAACGTTCCAAGAATGATAGAAATCCATAATGTGAAATAAATTTTATTTTCTTAATATAAATAAAATTACACAGATTTTGAAAGCATAATTTATGTAAAAATAAACAAACAAACAAAAAATTAAGTAAAAAAATGGCCAACTCTTTACCTCCTTGAGGACCAACATATAAATTTTTAATGTCAGCTGCAAGAAGCCTACGTACAGAATGTATTATTTCTGTATGGAAAAACTCAGCTATCAGTTCAAATATTCTTTTGCCCATTTTATGTATCTCTTCAGCTTTAGTCTCTTTGTCCATTGTAAATTCTACATGAGAAAAAAACTGAATGATCAACAGCTTTACATAAAAAAAAATACATTTATATATATATATATGTGTGTGTGTGTGTGTGTGTATGCGTGTGTCGGACCTCCATATCACGAACCTCTATTTTGAAAATCTCTCTATATTATGAGTTTTTACTTGGAACCAAGAATATAAAGTATATTGAAAAAGAATCTCCATTTAACTAAATTTCCCCATAATGAACTTTTTTTGGGGATTTAACAACTTTATTAAATAGAGGTCCAACTGCATGTACATATAATTTTCAAGCTTAGCTGCCTACAACCATAATATTAACAACATGTATAACAATTTATAACATGTTGCACATATGTTATATTCCATAATACTTGTATAAAATATAACAATTAATACACTTAACATGCCATATAATAAAGTGTTAATAAAATTTGAACAATTCCTTATACACAATACAATTACATGATGATTTGTATATAAGCATACAAATAATATGTATAGAAACCATCAATAATTTTAAAAAATAAGCCATTGAATAAAAATTTAACATATTAAATGTTAAAATATTTATGTCACAATTGCATGATTAAATAAAAAATTCCCTTAAATTGTGTAAAAATATCTAAAAGAAATCATTTTATATCAAGAGATACAAATAAATTAAATAATTAACTAATTATGTGCACTTTTGTTATGGTAATGATAAATACCTATTAAGTATTGTGGTAGAAGTTGAATTCATTTAAAAAAATACCTTCAAATGCTTTTTGAAGTAACTTTTGCCATGAGTCACGGATGTTGAAAGATTGATATACAAAATCTTGGATAGATTCTGTTTCTGGAAATCTCAGTTCAATCCAACCATCACAAATAATCCTAAAATAAGTAGCGTAAGTTAAGGTCTTAAAATAATCAAGCTAAAATGATCCAATTAAAATAGCAATCCAATGTTACGATTCATTTACTTTAAAAATACCAACTTTTTTCATAATTAATTTCTTGTTAATTTACCTGGTAAAATTTTGATTGGTATCTAATGAATGAGAACAAAGCAATAATGTATGAGCTGCAGGTACTCGAAGGCAGTTTACTAAGAAAGGTTTTGTTGTTTCTAGTAAAGATCTGTAATAAAAAAAGAAAATTTTGAAAATAAAAAAATAAATAAAATAACATTATTTATCGAAATGCATTTGAAGTTCAGGTTGATTAATTGGTTGTTATCAACATTGCATTCTGAAGCAGCCCTTAAGGACTAATGGTGATTAGACCTTGTGATTTTGAACCATGGTCAAGTGATAAAAACAACACCCATACTAAGTACCCTACTCTCTAAACTTCAATGCCACACCAACATGAAGATTTTGAGCCTCAAAAGACTTTATGTCCATTAACTCCTCAAAGTGGTAGGTTTTTAATGGCACTGGGGCTCAAATCTATAACTCAACAGAAAAAAAAAATTGTCATGAATTCAAATCATGATCACATGACTACTGCAGCAACATTTGTAACTCAAAAATGCTAAACAAATTATTCTTAAAATGAAACACGTAAAACAACTTTCTTTGTTGATTTAATAATATATAAAAACACAATATTTATATTACAATCATTTAATAAGTTATAGCATTTATTTTACTAAGCACAAGTGTAAGAAAAACCCGAAAACAAGATAACATTTTAAAGAGATTTAAATTCAACTCGAAAATTAGTACTTACAGTATATGCATGCAAAATTCATACTGCAGATAACTCATAAGAATCATTCGTTGTAAGATAATATACTGCCTATAAAGCTATGCTTTAAATTAAAAATTTTAATTTAAAAACATTTACAGCATAACTTTTTATTTATATTGACTGCAGGATGATTCAATATTTAAGTAAGCCTTCCCCATTTAAATTTAAATAATAACTGTACCATTAAAATAATTTATGAATAAGAAATAGCATTTTTTTAAATATTGCTGCAAAAATATAGTAGATTATTTGCATAATATTGTGTATTTTACCAATAAAACGATTGTAACAAGAACAATTAACTGAAATTAATTGTACTGCATTCAAATCACAGCCTTTCAATAGTTTGATAAGTAACAGAATATCAATCTGATCTATGATAAAAATGTTACAATATAAAAAATGTAATAAGAAAACATATGTATAAAAATAATGAATACAAAAAGAATGAAAAAGGAAATAATTTCAGCAAAGAAAACAGAGAGAAATGAAAGATTATATTGAAAATGATTTATCAATAATCCAACATACAAGAAGCTCACAATTTGATGTTTCCTGCTTAGGGGAGTAACTGTTCTGATGTTTTTCAATTCAACAATATCTGTTTCTCGTAGTTGCAGATATTCAGGTTTAAGAGCAAGAGTTCCATTGGGATGCAACACAGCAAATGGCTTCCCCTGAAAAAATTTCATTTGAGGCTTTGTTAATTACTAATAAATTATACATGAAAAGGAAAGGTATGATAAAATCTATCTTTATGTATATGCGCAAATCATTTACATTATCATCATCAAATAACAAGAAAAACAAATGGTATTGTTTACAAACAAAATAAAGAAAACAATGAATTTAAAATTTATGCTTATATAAATGGTGTTTGATCTTCTGTTAAAAAAAATTATATCCATATAGATTATATCTCAGTCTTTGTTTATCAATTCAATTCTTAGCATTCACTTTATTCTTAAAATACTTTTAAGACTTATGCAAATATTTAACAAGTTTTAAGTACTTCATTATCACAACTAGCTTACAGTGTATTCATTTCAGAACTTGTATATTTTAAGTATATTTAAAAGAGAAAAATAAGTACAAAAAGTTATTTTTTAGATTTATTTCTATACTGTACACCTTTTAATCCAGATAGACAGAATAATGATAGCAGGTACATATATTTGACTGGTTTTTCCTTGTTTCATATTTAAAAATCACTTTTAATTCTCTGACTGCCAGCAGTTTATTGAATTTACTTACAAACAGCTTAGCAATTTAACAGAAAAAAAGCTATAACAGAGAAATATATTTTTATAATAATTTCATCACTTTTGATATTTTTTCATTTTTATTTCATTTCAGTTCAGTTATTTTAAATTAGATCTTAATACAGCTAAAGCTAACACATAGATTTGATAAGATAACAAGCTTCTTGTTGTCTTTTCAATTAACCACAAATATGTTTATAAAATATTATTAGTGATTGAAGTACAGTGTTCACTAAAGAACTTTGCAACAAAAATATA